TTTGATCATCTATTTCAAATGTGAGTCAATAGATTTCAATTGATGTTAGTTTTTTTAAAATCACTTTTGCAATGTACTTTTGCACATAGAAATATTATACATATTTTGCCAAATACATTAACTAATTGTGCTACATATTTTACTAGCTTCCAAGTTTTATTATATAATTTTAGCTATACGATTTTGATACATTTAATAGCAGCTTCAATTTATATGCGACTGTATAAATTAGCGAACATATCAACCGAATTCGTTATAATCTTTCGTCTTTTCTTTAAAATCTTAGACAACAACTGTTTTATATAGCATACATGTTTACAGTATAAGTCAGTACTAAATTTTATTAATTATTTTACTGATTTAAATATAATGAAAAATAATAAAAAAATCACGAAGTGTAATTGTTTAATCTTCGAATTTAATGGAATTAACATGTGTATCTATGTGTCCACCACGGTAAGAACCACGCTTCTTTTTTTGCTTCTCATGTCGAAACTTCTTGCCCTTTGTAAACTTCAATACTTCATTAGCGCGTTCCCCCCATGATCCTCTTGCACCTTTCTGTAGAGGAAAAAAATAAATGTTAAATATCTTTACATTTTTCTTAAAATTAAAAGATTATATCTTTGTAGTAAAATCCCAATTTTTACCTCACCTTTATATACATCTTTATTATTAATCATCAAAAGTGATTCTTTTATTTTGAGGTGGACCTGCTATATCGAAAGATTTTCTTTTATCAAAACCACCCCTAAAACTTCCTCTATCATTATTTTCATTGTTTCCCCATGATCTTCTGGGTCCGTCATTATCCCTATTTCCTCCCCAAGACTTTCTGTCGAAACCACCTCTACCGCCACCTCTACCACCACGACCACCTCTAAAACCACCACGACCTCCGCGACCACCCCTATCATTATCGTTGTTCCTATATCCAGCGTTATCACCACTGTTGCTCCAACGTCCACCCCGATCGCCGCCACTAAAACGTCCGCCTCTAAAACCGCCACGACCACCCTCGTCACGTCCTCCTCGAAAACCGCCACGACCACCCTCGTCACGTCCTCCTCGAAAACCTCCCCTTCCGCCTCTAAATCCACCCCTAAATCCACCTCGTTCGTTTTGTTTTTTAAAACTGTTATCATCTTCATCCTAAAACAAAAGAGGAATAGGTCAGTCGCCCACATTGGAAGCATGTTATTACAAAGCAATTCACATCTTTTATTTTGTTATTATTCATTTTAAATTTTAAAATTTGGATAAATTTGGTGAATGCACGGAAACATAGTCTCAAGCAGGGTCTCGAGCTTTTGTAAAAAGGGCGAGTGATCTATGCCTCTTGGACGGTTTCCAAGCATTTACCTTTGCTTCAAATGAATTATTAGCCAACTTAGGATCCAATACGATGTCTTCACTTTTCACACGCTGATATGTACGATTTTTCTGCCACTAAATAAAAATTATAGGTGATAAAAAAAAAACATTTGTATCATTTCTCAGTAACGTAAAGTTAAGGTAAATGTATCCAATGTTCTACTATTAGGTTAACTTGATGTGAAGCTTAACCTGATGTTTTAATCAATAAGCTTCACTTATGATATAATCACAGATAAAACCCATTAGATAAAACATTAAGCCTAATGACAAGTTAACCAGGAAATGAAAAACCGGACATTAGGAAACACGATTCAATTATTGAACGAAACAATAAAAATTTTAAATATCCAACTTTTAATATGTACAACTCTAAATAAATTACTTATAAAAATTTAATAACAAATTTATTTAGAAACGTACATATTATTGAAAGCTTAATATTTTTAATTTTTGTTATTTCGTTCAATAATTGGAGTCATGTCCACAAACTGATATATTTACTTTTGTTAAACATAGCAGTAATGGTTGCATTAAAAAAATGAACAAGAAAACGTTTATTGAATGGACGATTAAATCAGATGTGCAATTCTCAAACTTTTTAATGAATAATTTTTGCGAGAATATATTTATCACTTTTTAATTCAGCGGATTTTTAATTAAAAATGTTAGACTGTATTTCAGACCATATTTTATATAAAGACCTTACATACACATAATATAAGTATATATGCGGTGTGTACATATATATATATATATATATATATATATATGTGTGTGTGTGTGTGTGTGTAGGTACATACCTTATTTTCATTAAAGCTACTATTAGCTTTCACAAAGTTGCCATAGTTATTTTTTGCAGCTTTTGCTGGTGTTTTTTCTTCATCATTATCAGCATGTTTCCTTTTTTGTCCCTTGTTCATCTCAGCTGGTGTGTGAACTTTCATCTTCTCTTTATTGGAGTTGTTGGAGTCAGATTCGTTCAAGGATTCTTTTTTGGCGATTTTCTTGGCCGGTGCTGTTGTCGGTGCCTCATCTTCTGAATCATCTGAATCTTCGCTAGAAGACTCTTCCTTTTTCTGTGTTTTATTAATCGCCACTTTCGATATTGCTATTGTCGTTGGTTTCTCTTCATCAGATTCGTCCTCTGACTCCTCACTTGACGAATCTTTTTTCTTTACAGAACTAATTTTACTAGCAGTTTGATTAGTGAGAGCTGGCGTTTTACTAGGTGCCACTGTTACTGGTTTCTCTTCTTCATCAGATTCATCGTCTGAATCCTCGCTCGATGAATCTTTTTTCTTTACAGAACTAATTTTGTTAGTATTTCGATTAGCGATAACTGGCGTTTTCTCAAGCGCTGCTTTTGTTACTATCATTGTTGCTGAGTTTTCTTCTTCATCAGATTCATCTTCTGAATCTTCGCTTGACGAATCTTTCTTTCCAGAACTAATTTTATTAGCAGTACTTTGATTAGAAAGAGCTGGTTTTTTAATAGGTTTTTCATCTTCGCTACTTTCTTCGCTCGAGGAAGATTTTGTTTTCTTAGTGGCGACTGCTGAAGTTGTTTTCTTAGCAGCGACTGCTGGAGTTGTTTTCTTGGTGGTGGCTGCTGGAGTTGGTTTCTTAACAGGCTGCTCCTCTTCGCTATCATCGCTATCATCGCTATCTTCGCTTGAAGACTCTTTCTTGGTAGTTAATTTTACTGGTGCAGCTGGTTTATTGAGAGCTACTTTTTGAGGCGTTTCTTCTTCGTCGCTGCTTTCTTCACTTGATGACGACTCCGATTTTTTAACTGCTTTTGCTGGCTTATTCTGATTCTGTGTCTTCAAAGTTACAGTAGCTTTTGTTGCGACTGTCTTAACGTCCTCTTCGCTGCTCTCTTCTTCGCTCGAAGAAGAATTTTTTTGCACAGCAGTTGCCGACGAAGTTGATTTCTCAACAGACTGCTGTTCGTCGCTGCTATCATCATCGCTAGAAGATTCTTCCATGGTAATTTGTTTTGCTGGCACTGTAGATTTACTGACAACTGGTTTTTTCTGTACATTCTCATTCAATGCATTCACATCACGACCTTTGCTCTTGTTTGTAACCAATGTTGCTGATTTATTCTGTTTTTGTAATTGTGTTTTTGAAGCTGCATTCGTTATGGGTGTGGATGTCTTCATTGCTAACTGTTTAGTAATTTTTGAATTTACCGTTTGAACGTTAGGACTCGTTGAAGATGAATCGCTGGAAGATAAATCAGATGTATCAGATTTATTGGCCCGTAATCGCATAGATTTAATTATAGCCCTTGAAGCTTCTTTCGCTCGACGAGATAGCTCAATTGATTCCTTCTCATCTTCCTCCTTCATACGTTCGGAGAGAGCATGTAGTCTTGCATTTAATTTTAACATATTTTTCTTTCGTACTTCTGGATCATTAGTATCTTCTTCGTCGGAAGTATCCGACGAAGACGATTTTGCTATCTTTTTAAGAGCCACTGTCTCCACTGCTTTGCCATTAACTTGTGCATTTTTTCCTGTTTCTTCTTCACTTTCCGAGCTTGAATCCGAACTGCTTTCCTTAGTTACTTGTGTGACTAATGGGATCTTTTTGGAAGAGTTCTTTTGGAAATACTTAATTACTTCCAATAATGTTGGAATTTCTTTTCGTAGGATAGGCTGAAATATACAAGCATCGATAAAACAATTATTGCCAATTACATTCAATATTTGGTAATTTTAGGGTGCTACAATAAAAATTACGACAACGTGCAAATGATATGGAATAATCGAGAAAGATCACATTGGGAACATTTAAGCCGCGTTACACCCACGTGGTGTTAACGAGTATGGCGCCAGACGGTACTTTGATGCCGCATGGCGCGTGGCGTCGGCCATCCTCACGACTTACCGCTTTCGTCTTCTTCTGAAAAACCGTCGCCAATGATGCATCTTTCTTCAACAAATAGTTATACACGAGACCAGCTACTAACGATTCCTCAGCGTTACTCATGGTGCCAGGTATATATGCCAATCGCAAATAAAGAAGACCGATAAATTCGCGACGAACGTCGCTTCCTCAGCTTCCTATTTCGCCGGGTTTGCTACTTGCAGTGGCTACTTACTTCCTTTGTGACGTCTGCGCCGTCCGTGGCGCTGCTGTTATTCAGTCAGGGTTTGCATAGAATTTTTAGATGAATTCTTAAATGATATATACGCCGAAAGAAATGAGCCAATCCACGTGTTTAACGTAAAATAAATAGACGTTTTCTATTGGTTCGTGCTCACTGAACGCTTGCCGCGCAGCGGAATAGCCAATCAACGTCTCGCTTGCTCGGAAGTAATATGGTTTCTGCACACTGGACGCGGAAACGCTTGCCGCGCGGCAAATTGTGATACAGTAGCCAATAAGCCTTCAGCTCCTAATGTGTTCATTAATTACCGCATCTCATTTTGCCGCACGACAAGCGTTTCCGCGTCCAGTATGCAGGAGCCATTAGATATGTAATTTTCACCGCTCGACAAAAGTTGAACTCAATCCAATTTTCTGTCTCTTTTTTGCTTTAAAATGAATGTTTTAAGTTTTGCTTAAAGTCAAAGTAACGTTGGAGCAACCGGACTTTAAGAACACAGAATTATTGGTTAGTGCGATAATTGATTTACAAAGGAATTGCTAAGGTTCTCTCCCCTTCTGCCCCACTATCACAGTATATTCAGCCAATCCCGAGAGGGATATTGTCGACGGGCCAATCGCAAGGCACGGCCAATCGTGTGTGGCGATGGCGGGTTGATCGGAACGCCCCCAGTGATGAGGCGCGAAAACTAAACTTATATTTTATGACGGTGTTATCTTACAGAACTCATCATCACTATCGCGCTGTTATCTACGCGAACAGTGTTAGTAGCGTTTGCGTTAGTAGCATTGATAGCGTCTTCCCGAACGTACCCTATATATTTTCAGAGAAAATTTTCTTCAGAGAGGAAGTTTTGGAACATAGCTCAATTTACGATTTGTTCAATTCCGAAGATCATCAGTGGCCAAATATCAGTTAGGCTGCGAGGCCAATTAGAAGAAGAAGAAGGTGATTGGCTATCGTACCAATTTCTGCTGCACAGCAAATGTTGCCGCGTTCAGATGCCTACTGATGGACATGGCAAATTTCGCACGCGGCACTTTAGAAAGAAATAGATTTTAGGAGCTTCTGAATCATCCTGCGTTTGCCGCAAGCGAAGTTGGATTGATAAAACGACTGATTTATGCCCATTTCCACTAACGTAGATTAATCGTACTTTAATCTCGGTTCGACTTGCTCTTCGTCTTTTTCTAATCTTTAGAATTTGAAAAAGACAAGTTGAAGTTGAATCGAGATTAAAGTTAATCTACGTTGACTAGTCTACTGATTGAAGTTAATCTTATTAAGCAGTTCATGAAAATATACCTTTAAACATATTTTCCAATGCGCAGTAAAGTTTTGGCGGTTTTAGCACACTCTCTTGCACGTGATTGGTCGAATTGGATTGGTCGAATTTGATTGATTGTCGTTTCTTTTCAAATTCGTAAACCGGTATGTGCTGATTGTCGGTGTGATTTTCCGACGATTTTATTGCGATTCGACTGTTTTACAGCATGACTGAAACGCAACAAAAGACTAAGTGCATTACTTTAAAAGGTTCTGCCGAGTTGGTCTCGCAATATCTGCGTAAGTATGATTTTAGTCTTGAGATATTTCTAACCTTTCTTTGATTGTTATCTTTCGTTGCAGTCTATGGAGTCAATAGTATACTCTATCAAAGAGGGATATATCCGCCGGAGACTTTCACGCCCTCCGAACATTTTGGTCTATTCATCTTCACGTCCACGGATGAAAAAATCACGTCCTTCTTAAATACTGTGCTGAAACAGATTGAAGAGTGGCTCGTCCAGCGCAAGGTACATAAAATTACGCTCGTCATAACAAATGTCAATACAAAGGAGGTGCTGGAGAAGTGGGATTTCAAGGTCGATTATGAAGATCAGAAGGCTAATGGAACAGACAGCATCATTAAGGGTGATTTGCCTGAAGTAGGGACGAAAGATGTGAAAACTATACAGAAAGAAATACGCGAAGTGATACGTCAGATCACAGGTAGTATGAAACATACAGTGTTATTTGAAATAAAACACTGTAATATATCTCAAGTAGCATGAAACACTCCAGCGATATTGTTGCAGCGCTGAATGTTCTATGCTATGTAGAATTTAAGGCGTTGAAATCATAATACAAAGTATTCTTACAGGTACTGTGAGCTTCTTGCCACTCTTGGATTGCCTGTGTTCCTTTGATATACTTACGTACACAGTACCTGATTGTAACATTCCCAACCAATGGGACGAGACTCAGCCAGTTTTTATTGCAAACAGTCAAGAGGTACAACTTAGATCATTCTCAACCTCTTTACATAAAATGAATACTGTAGTTAGTTACAAAAATACCTGAGCCTATTTGCTATCCTATATGTAATATTTGTAAATACAAATTTCATTTCAACTGCATATGTGTTAACTACCATTTCCAAAGACTGCTGTATTGTTCCATATAGATTACTGATTAAATGACAGCAATACTTTCTCACATACAATACATTCATATTAAAACATATCAAATATATTTATTAAAACGTTACGTTTGTTAATATTTGTAACTGGTATGTCAGGAATTTTTGTCTGACGAATATATATGTACTTTAATGAAAATCAGCATATCTTTTAAATGTGAGTAAAGTACTAAAAGAAAAGTACAATTAAACATATTAATTGCTATTAGATCTTTTGATAATATAAATTTAAAAAATTAAATTAGGTTTTTTTTATTAAAATAATTATAATTTTTATTTTCTGTTTTCCTTATTTAATTATTTTAGATTTTAATTCTAAATGTAGTTTTATTGCTATTTTTGTATTAAAAAATGAAGATTTATAGAAATTATAAAAAAAGGGTAAGGGAAATATATGGAACACTGATAAGAGAATCTTGGCAGATTTTATTAAAACATAATTGACCTTTACATTTAAACACAAGAATTACATTTGCGTACTTGGCAAAGCATGAGAGATACGACTAGAATAAAGTATTTTCGCTTGTCGACGCTTCATAGTAATCGTCTAATGCTAGCGTCTTCCAGTGTAAAGCTTTTCCCACATGAAATCTCATTGCTGATACTAGCCTCAACCATTTCCTAACGATTCCTCGCGTTATGCTCCATCTTTAAAATATTCTAAACGCATAATCAAAAAATAATTTAAAAGATCAGCGTCATGCTCTTTGAATATTTTAGGTAAATTATATATTTTACGAACATACTTGTAAATACAAGTGTGACATATTCAATCATAATCTGCCTTATTTGGGTAGAAATGAAATTAAGTAATAAAAATTATTTTGTGCCTTACAAACACTATCATTTGTCCGCGATGCCCGGTAATTGGCACTCGATTTGATGACAAATCTAAATGAATGAGAATAATTGCCTCTTATTCGAATAATCGGCATTTGCTTTGAAGGTTCGTAAAAGTTGTTGTGAACAAGTTCTCTGAAGCAATCTTAAAGTAAAAAATTAATAAAATTTGCAATGAGCATTTTTATAAAGATTACCAAGGATTTCTAAAGAGCATTACCTTAATTTTATAAGTACTCAAATACTTTTATTGTTGTATCTAAGTTGTATGTTTTTCGTATGTCTTTATCCCATAATTTTAAATGATTAATATCTGTTACATTGTTTGTTTAAAAGATTATGTCTAAAAATTTTACGTGCACCTTTATTTCTTTTTTCTTATATTTTACATTACAATCTGCAATTGTAAACTCATTTTCCATTTTGCATAATAATTAAACATAACAAATGAAATTTGTTCTTTAACGTAGGGAAAAGTATTTTGAAACATATAGGGAGCATAACATTTTTATTGTACTATTTATTAGACGATTATCATAAATATGGTGTTTTTACTCTTCAAAGAGTAGCCAATTGTAGGAATAAAAGAGTATCTCTTCTTTCATTTATATCTGCCATTGTTCTGAGCGCATTTCGTCGAAGGAGGTTGTTTCGGGAAACATTGATGGCGACCTATACCTTTATTAGTAGTTCGCCGTTACGTCTCCCTTATAATAATTTCGCTATTAACGTTAATACTTCGTGCTGCTAGAGTTAGCCATATTATCAATAGTGCGTAGTCTTTTTGCTATAAAGACTATCGCGGAACGCAAACGTCCGATTCTTGTTCGCTTGGCTCGTCTTTATACGATACTTTTGAGAAAATAGCACTTTCGAGCATTCAAGATTGTAAAAAATATCCTGGACCTTTGATGCACTTTGGATGCGGTTAAAGTCTCACTGTAAATGCTTTGAAGTATTTGATTAAACTTGAGAAGAAAGAATTTTACGAATTGACTAATCAAAGAATATTCAAAGCATTTGTAGTATTACGTTAACCGTATCCTTTTGCGAACGTTTCAACAATCCATTTTTACAAATATCGAATATTTTCTATTCATGTGAATTACATTAATAAATTTTATATTAACACGTGTTTTTTTAGAAATTTTCTGAAACATCAATGAATATTTCTACGATTTGTCGTAGCGATTGTAATAATATTTTGCGATAATATGATCGTTTTTAACTTTTTAAAACTTTTTGGTAGACAACTTGATGACATTTGATGAAACTATAAGAATGTTCGGCGAACAATATTTGCAGAATTTTACACATGTGCAAGAGATGACTTTAGTTTCTAACGTTGCGCTGTTTCGCAATATAACTGCATATAATTAGGTTCGTAAGATTTTCTACTCGAAATATTTTGTTTCTCTTCAAAAGCACGTGATTTATGCCAAAGACGGACATTACATTCGTAATTATTCTCTGCACCCAAGCCATACGCTCTTTAAATGTGCCCTAGACTAGTTTTGCTCTGCATTCGTTTTTTTAGCTGACACACTGCGAAAGCTGCTGGAGATACGCTGCAGTTTTACAAACGTGTTTATCCCGCTGGCTCGCAACACCGTAAGAGAGCGAGCAATGATGGTAATGGAGTTCGCCGGGTCGTAAATTATTTAAAGTTCTCTCGCGATGTAAATTAGGAA